AGGTTCCAATCCACTTGAATTGTTCTGGGATGTTGTTGAAGAGCTTGATGAGATTTTATATTCACACCGTAAAATTGTAAATGAGATTATGAAAGTACGTAAAATCTGATATTTTAGTTAAAGTATTGTCAAATATAAAAGTGATATTTTTTTAATCTTTATCAACTTAGTCAAAAGATATTTCAATGTCTTCTGGATTCACATTTGAAGAATTTCAAGAAATTCTCAGTTCAGATGAACGTATTTCCTCAGTTAACGAGGCTAATCTCAGAATAATTTTTGAACAGGTAAAAGTTATATAAATATAGTCAACTCCCGCTATAGTCACACTCGCAATAGTCACAATTTCTTGAAGTTATATGTCGATGGTTATGATTATTATAAATTAGCTCTCGCTATAATCACACGATGTGACTAGTACTATGTTTCTCTCACTATAGTCACATCAAGCTTTCTGCCAGACAATGTGATTATAACGGGAGTTGACTGTACATATCATTTTGGATATACGGCGAGTAACACAGATAATAACGTAAATGGTAATTACATAATAGCTACAACGAAAGCAGGAAAGGAGACAACGTCGAAAATTAGATGCGTTTAAATCAATTCTCAAACATTTTGAATCAATGATTGCGCCTGAAGCTACTTGGGAACAGGTGTGAATTTACTTTAAACTTATGAATTAACTGTTTGGATCAATTGCTTGACAATACCGAATAATATATGCATACGACTGTAGGTGCGACCGATTTTGGAGAAAACCGAAGAATTTCAAGCAGTTGGTTCAGAAGAACAACGAGTAGAAATTTTCACCAAATTTATGGAAAGAGTTAAGGTAAGAGTAATATAAAATGCCTCTTATATAATTCAAAGGTTTACGTTACGGTTCATTATAAATTTACCAAAATTTTTCGATTTACTAGGAAAAGCATCTTGAAAAAAGCGGCGAAGACAGTGAAGAAGAAGAGGGAACTATCAAAGATGAAGATTTTGAAGATGATCGACATGCATCGTCAGATCGTAAAAAAAAGCATAAAAGTCATCGTTCATATCACCATCGCCGGCCTCATCACTCTGACTATTCGGCTGACAGTGCTGATCTTTCTGATAAAGAGAAAGATGGCAGTGATAAAAGAAAACGACGAAAGGTAACATGGAACATAATTATAAATTATATTTCTTAATAATGTATACCTTTATATCTAACATCACAGCATGTGCTGTCTTCAGACAAAACTCAAGTATGAGTCCAGATATACAGAACCCAAATATCAAGAGTACAACAAATTTACTGATCCGAAACATGGTGAACATAAATCTCTGTCCCCAAAGTCAGAGATTATCAAGCAAACATCCCCGAAGCCAGAAGAATCAATTAAATTTCAATCGCCTATTCGGGATTTTCCTCAACGAGAGGTTAGCAAACATGCAGATTCAAGCGCGGAAGAAGGCGAGTATGTAGAACAATAAAATAAATTACCGTCTTTTATCAACATTTACTTCACTATTGTCAGTGTTATATTTTAGCTATGTGCAAAATCTTGAATGCAATGAAGAATATGGCTTTGGGAATATGGATCCACGAAAGTAAAAGGTGAGATCTAGAATAATGTGATTGACTATCCTGAAGTGTGATAAATAAAGTGTCAAAATTTTCGATGAGTAATTGTTACAGCAGTCCGGTTCATTATCGAGAAATTTACAGTTGATTTTTTATTAAAAGCAGGTAAGTGATTTCGAAAAAAGAACTTATGCCATAGCCTTTTATAAATGAAAATAATGGTCAACGGGTCAGTAATTTATGAAGTGTCGGATTATGTCTTCTGCCATCTCTGTCCATTGTATATAGCTTAAAATAGCTTAAAAAAACAAAAAAAATTATGAAAAAAAAAAATATGAAATGATTTAAGTACAAAGTTATATTGAAATTTATTGTATAAAGGTTTATATGTCAAGTAGTTCAAGTGCCAAGTGTTGATAGTTTAGCTGCTAATTGGTAAGTGTTATGCTACTACTCGAGGTCTATGTTAAAATATTTTCAGTATTGGCTTAGAGATGTTTATGGAGTTTTATTTTGTAAAGAGCGGAAATAAACGACACGCTACTCAACATTATATCCGCCTCCATGTGATACCAGTCATGACCCTCTACGTACATAAAATGCACATGATACGTACTAGCGGTCATAGAATATGTTTTCTTTTAGGGATTAAAACGTTTACTTACTGGTTAAATAAGTAAACGTATCTTATTTTTTTTAACATTTGTATGGTATATATAGGGAATTACTATTTTTACTATGGATTTTTGCTATTTTTACTATAGTATATTAAAATATTCTATTTTTGAACATTTTTTATTTAATATACAAAATCGATTTAATTAATCAAATTTAAAAAAAAAAAAATTTTTAAATTTTTAAATTGTAGAAATTTTTTTTGATTTTAATGGTATATATTTAGATTATCAAAATCAGATTAGTAAATTTAAGATATTTGAGATTAAAGACGTGAAGATAGTGATTTACTAATTATTATTTATACAAAATATTAGATTAGTGTTTTAAGCTGGCTGATATAATTATGGTTAAGCTGGTTTAGCTAGCTACTATAAGTTAGTCAATACAACATAATTAGTTGGCTAATATTGTTAAAGATTATAGAATACATAGTAAATTATTTTTTTTTTCAATTAAGATTAATTTTTTTGATTTATTTTTATAAAATATATTTAGAATTATTAATATTTTTAAAGGTTTTGAATATAATATAATATAGTTAAATTTTATTAGTTATTGTAAATTTTATTAATTAAATTTATATATATTCTTATAGTATTTTATTAATTGAATTTTATTAGTTATTTTTTTATATTTTTTTTAAATTTTATTATAAATTTTATATTATTATTATTATTATTATTTTTTTGGTGTTAAGGTGGCCTCTTGGCCGGCTCCTTTTATTCGGTTATAGTTAAC